GTAAGCCCATCCCTGGTATAATCAGGGCCAGGATACAATAGCACTGTAATAACAGAGAGTCCCAGGTCATTGGAAGAAACCAGGAAGCAATGATGCCTGTGATGGTCTTTTCTCATTCTCCATGTTGAGGTTCAAATAATGACCCTGTTATACTTTGCAACTAGATATCTCCAGGGCTATTCAAATTAATGGCCCTCCCTACTCTACTTTAAGTAAACCTGAATTCCTCTGGCAGTACTTACTCAGCCATTTCTAACTGTCCTCCAGTGTCAACCACAGTGACGCTGTGACTAGCCACACAACTCTTATTGATTAAAATGATAGCTCATAATGCCTAGACATTGCTTCTTAGTTTGGGGAGAAGAGGAAGAATTGAGAGGAAAGGTTATCTTGACTGACCCTCTGAAAGCTAATCTCACATAAAAAGAGGTGATCTTTTGCAAAGCTCCATGGGAATTGCCTACAGCCCAGTGATTAAGGCAATCAGTCACAGTCAACTGCAATGCTTGGCCCCCAGGTCCTTGAAAAAGTCAGGCAAGAGGCCCAACCTGAAACACAGCCAGGTGACAGTAAGGCTCTAGCCAATGTCCTGCCAGGTCATATAGTTTTGTACCGCAGATTCGAACACACTAAAGAAGTGCTTGTCCACTTTTAAATTATTCAGTTTAAAAGTCCATCACCTAAGAGACAAGAATCCCTCTCTTGGAGTCTGATGAACAAATTTGATAGATGACTGTGCACTGCCCTAGAAAGAACAGTTGTGGAAGGTGTGGAAGATGTGCCTGCAAATCTATTACTGATCCACTACCAACGCATGTTCCAGAACACTACACCAGTAGGCCTTGTGTGAGTGCTATTTTGCAATTCATCTTTTCTTGCACAACAGGCACATTACAATTTATTGTTAAAACAAGAACATTATTAAAGGTGAAAGAGAACATTATTACTATTTACATCTGAACAAGGAGATTGTCCCTGGAAATCCAGGACATATGGTCACCCTAGATACCTTGCCTTTCAGAGGAGGAAAATCAAGCAGTGAAATGCCTGGAATCCTGGAAATCATATAATATGAGTACACGAAGATATTCAGCATGAAGATAAGTCTGACTGAGGATGTGTGTGTGTGTGTGTGCACGCGCATTGGAGACCAAAAAAGGGCAGCTTACTCAAAGGGCAATCATTTGGCAAAGTGAAAAGGTTTCTTCCCTCCTGTGCCAAAAATCAGAATTGTAATCAGGAAGCACATTCAGGCTCCATGTAAGAAAGAGTTTTTTTTCAGAACTGCCCAACAACAGAAGAAGTTGCCTTGCCAGAGTGCTCTCCTCATACTTTGAATGCATTCCAGCTGAGGAAGAGTAGATACCTTTCATGGGTATAGTGAGATGTTTTCTGCAGTAACTGAGGAATTGTATACATAGTTCCTAAGACTCTTTGAAGATCATAACAAATAGCTATTATCATGAAAATATACGATAACTTGTTGGTTTTGTAATACCAAGAATCTCATGCGTTAGTAAATAGACTACATTTAAACCAAGGCAGACAGGGAAAATCTAATGCAGGAAAGAAAAATTAGAAATTTTCCTGAGTGAGATGGGTCACCCCAACAGGCCATGGAAGATGATAAAACTCCATGCCTGATATGCATGCATGAAGGAAAATCATAGCACTAGATCATTAACAAGGACATAATTAACTTGTATTACTTCAGCAATTTGAAAATTCAAAATTTCATTCAAAATTTATGGTTACTTATGTGGAATTAAAAGGTTTAAACACTAATTGAAAAATGATGAAATTTTATTAACTCTTCGATCCTTTGGCTAACTAGCATATTTCTTTATAATATTAATTCTTCTGAAATAGAGTTGAACTTTGGCTAAATTATGAAGGTGGTAAAATTTAGCTTTAAATAAACTTCACTTCCTCACTCTCCGATTTCTCCTCCTTGAGGCAACTCTTTCTTATGTATAACTTCCTAATGCTTATTGCCTCTCCTCTTTCCTGACTGTTTACTTTCAGGACAGGGTAGAATCAAATCTGGTTTCCTACTATTAAACTGACCAAAAAGGGTAATATGCTACCACCTACCAATGATTTTATATTTAAAAAGCATTTTTGAACCTTAATCCCAGTGTAATAAATTCTAATAATGGAATTCCAGAAATCAGTCTTATAAACAGTTATTTGGAAGAGAATTCTTGACTTCTGAATTTATGCCATGTAGGAAGCTACCATTCTTCAAACTTGTTAATCTTGTGCTATATTTATCTACCCTTGTAAGACCAAAGAAATATTTTGTTATGATCATCATCTTTTAATAAAAATAGTATCACCAATTTAAATTTCATGTGCTAAACACTGTACTAATTATACACATATATTATCTCATCCTGTAATCTTCACAACGATCATATAAATTACATGTTGTCACAGAGCTAAAGAAATTTTGGTGTAAAAAGATTGAGAAATTTTTATAAAACCATAGGAGCAAGTGATGTGACTGGAACTTACCACTAGGTCTATCAAATTTCCAAGCCTGGGCTTTCAACCTGGAGGTTCTATTCCACATTAGCATGCCAAAACTAACTCAACAAGTATTTCAAATGTGCGTACTGAGAAAATGCAGAGAAATGAAAGACTGACCTTTCTTTGTAAGTTGTCCAGTGTCTTATATCTTGCTTTCTTCCACTGATGCCTATGCCTATGTCAAATTTAATCAGAATTCACCCAGACATTTCAGGAACAATTAGAAACTATTAAGCTCCTCTCAGACTTCAATATCCAACAACTCCCTCACATTTCTTTTTCAAAAATACATGAGTTTACTGTCTCATTCTTCTTTTGATTAAATTATTTTAGGTAAAAGTGAATTCTTCCTTCTGGAAATTGAAATTTATGATTTCCTTCTTTTCCCAGATTCCTTTTAAATAGAAGTCTGTGTGATTTAAAAGGAAAACAGAATCAATTATCTCCATATTAAGCCAGAGGGGAAGATAGCAGAGATGGAAAAGGAAAGGAAAAACTGCTGTCTCTTTGTGTTTCCCTTGCCCCCACCAAACTGATCAATATCAAACATTTAATCAAATTGTATGGCTAACTGTGCAGAAAGTGGTCCTCCACTTTATTGCCTGTTAATGAGGAGAAATTGGGGAGATGGTTGCCGATTGGACAGCATGAAGTTAGTTCAAAGACAGCTGCCTATGGGAGAGCAAGGAGACTTCTTTGTCAGTCTCACAGTCAGTTTCAGGTCCACCTTATTGTAATATAAGATTCATCCTGAATGAGCATAATATTTTGTTTCCTTTTAGGCAAGTTACTGAGGGGCACACCCACTAAGTGTTCAAGGAGGAAAATTTGTGAGCATTATGGAGAGAAAAGCAGGCAAATCATTGGAACTCTGATTGATTCAATCAGGAGATGAGGGTTGAGGTGGGTGGGTGGGTATGCACAATGCTTGTTAAGAAAAGATGGCAACAGCTGGGCTGTGTATGACCCAGCCCTTCCCACAGTCTATCACGGCAATCTTAAATCCATTCAAAGGCAACAGTAAGAAGTCCCAGAGATGTCTTCACTTGATCCTGGCTTCTTTAAGAGACTGTGCCTGTCTGGGGAGATTTCTCTGAGACAGGCAAACATGTGTGAGAAGTCATGGAGGAGGCATTGACTACTATTCAGAGTCTTAGTACCCTGGATTGGGTTTGCAATGTTGATGAAAGTAACTCACTAGAGAATGAGAAGCTGTTTTCAGAAAATCTGGAGAAATTCTGTCAGCCCTGCTGCTTTGAAAAATTCCCCTATTCCTTATGTTGAAACAAAGTAAGAATTTAAGAGAAGTTACCTTGATGAGATGGCAGCAGATACCCCAGATTAAGGTGGACTCCTTTATAAAAATTGCCTTGATGAGAATCAAGACCAAGTCAGGCAAAGGACATAAACCTGGAGACCCCAACTAGAAACCAATGTGGTTCAAGGACCTCCAAAGCAGTAATTGATGGTGTTGGTTGTGATGACCTTCATGCTTCATACTGGTTTTTGATGGGATCAAAGACAGTGGAGGTTCATTTGGTTTAGCCACACAAAGCTGCTGCACCACTCAAAATGGAAAGTAAATATGACTTGCTTACCGGAGCCAAGTCATTGTCTCCCTATGTGACCCCTGTCCTCTCTCCTCTAATCCAAACTTAACCACATTAAAGAGAAAGCCAACTAGAGGTAGGGCCAAGATGTCCCTGTCCTCAAGGAGCAGACTGTGTTGTCAATTCAGTGTTGTGGCTTTCACTGCTGAGTGTGTAATTGATATTGATGTTTCACATGCTTGGACTCTAAATATTTATCGGTACTGTGTCTTCCTAGAGACATGCTAGGGAAACACCTAAGTGGCTCTCCAATCCATCCCCCAGTTCCCTCCAAGGTATTCCAACAGAAACAGTATAGAATCCCAGGAGGAAAAAAAGAGAAATTGCCACTCTGTGATTAAAGACTTAAAAGCATCAAGGGTGGTAAAAAATGCAACTGCCTATATGGCAAGTGAAAGTGCCAGCTGAATGTTAGAGCGCCATTATCACCAATTAAATCAGTATTTACTCCCATAGCCCCAGCTGTTTCAGACATTGTAACTGAACCTAATCCATTGCACAGATTGATAGCACTTGGTATGCTGCCTTGGGCATCGACAAATGCCTTATTTCCTAGCCACTGGCACCTGATTACTAAGGCTAATTTGCATTTATGTGGCCAGGCTTCCAATATTTTGCTAAGGCACTTAAACGCCACTGTTATTTGCCACCAATGAGGGGTTAGGGTTTAGCCCAAGAGCCTCTACCCCATGTTGTCAAAAGCTTTCACCCTGTAGTTGATGTCCTGTAGGTTGGCAAATCATAACCCTCAGTCTGTATAGCCCTGATTGTCATGTTAACAAACCTCTATCAGTAGGGGTTGTAGATAAACTCCAGTGAAATTCAGAGGAGGAAACTTCACCAAGGAAACTCTTAGAAACATGTGGGCAGGTTTATAACTCTTGATGTCTCCAGCAGTAAAGGAAAACTATTGTCTCTTTACCTCTCCCCTTCTCCCACCAAAAACAAAACAGCACTTTATTATACTCACGGATATCGAAGACAGCATGTGCCTCGTGTTGCCATTTTTATCTGCTAATCTGCAAATAAGTATCCTGTGAATGGGGACCAACCAATAGGTTGAATTGGAGGCTGTACATCAAGTTGACACACACTATCTACTTTCGGAGCCCCAAAACTATGTGTTCCTTGAGCTACAATTCTCTGTGACTAATGACCTTGCTGATTGGAGACTCTGGCAAAAGGCATCTAAACTGTGGCAGACTATCTTAGCTTGCAAAATTTCAGGTTCTTAGTTTATGACATCTAATTGGTCTTGAAACCTCGCAATAAAAAAGTTTGTGAAAATATAACTATACTGATTTCTAGTTTTGAAAAAGTATTGCTTTTTTAGGTGGAACATTCCAGTACACCTTTTTTATTTCAAAGAAACATTAGCACAGCCACTCAATTTAAGTAAAGCTCTCATCTAAGTCTTCTCTGGTAGTAATAAAAGTTTATATGTCAGAACAAATTTAGAAAGGTGGAGAAATAGATACTAAGAAGAATATGAAAGAATTTTCATATTATTCTAGTTTAAAGAAAGCATTACTGAAGATAAATTATTAATAACTTTATATAAATTATCATTTTAATTAAAATGCATACTGGATAATTTAGTATATGAAAAAGAGATACTGGGGGCTTAAAATCCTTGAAAACACCAGAATTTAAAGCTATGAGTTGTCATATTATCCTTTGGGCCATCTATTAAGTTCTCAGCTAAATATTAAAATATATTAATAAAAGTAAAATATTGAAACACTTCATTTAGGATATAACTACAGATTATATTATAGAGTTGCAAGTACATTGAGTTATTTTAAATTCTGCATGAGACAGTGATGATGACTCAGATGAAACTCTATTTACAAACAGTAAAATTCACAATTTTGACGTACAGTTCTGTGAGTTTTTTACATATGTTGATTCTTCAACCATCACCATAGAGAGGATGCAAAACAGTTGCAGTATTCGAGAAAGATCTCTTCTACTGCCACTTTTTTTTTTCCCACAACCTCTTCACTCCTAAGCCCTGGTAAACATAGTTCTGTTCTCTATTCTTTTTTTTTTTTTTTTTTCTGGAAGGTAGAGGGGGAACATTTCCAGAATTTTATATGAATAAAATCATACCGTATATAATCTTGTGAGTTTAAGTTCTTGACCTTAGCATAATTATTTGAAGATTCACCTAAGTTCTGGAGTGTATCAATAGTTCATCCTTGTCACTGGTACTAGTATTTTATTATGTAGATGCACCACAGTTTGTTTATCCATTCACCCACTGAAGGACATCTGTGATACTTCTGGTTTTAGATCATTAATAATGCTGTTATAAACATTTATGTGTAGGTTTTTGTGTGAACATGAACTTTGATTTCTCTAATATGCATACCTAAAAGTGAGGTTGCTGAGTTATATGATTATGTCATAAAATATTTTGGCATTTTTTTAAAAAGCTAAGCATAAGTATATATTCAGCTTTTGAAAAAAAATGCCAAAATATTTTCCAGAATGGCTGTACCATTTTGCATTCCTATCACCAATGTATGAGAGTTCCCTTTGCTCTGCATCCTCATCCACACTGGATATTATGGGTATTTTTTAATCTTAGCCCAGTAAATAGCTGTGAAATGCTATCTCCTGGTCGTTTTAGTTTTCAGTTCCCTAATGACTAATGATGAAAAATATCCTTTCATGTGCTTATTTCTCATTTGTGTATAATTTTTAGTGAAGTGACTGTTTCAATCTATTCCCCATTTTTTCAAATTGAGTTGTTTATTTTCTGATTTTTGAGTTCTGAGAGTTCTTTACCTATTCTGATACAAATTGTTTGGTTATTAGTATCGTAAGTATTCTAACGTTCAGCATGCAGATTCTGTACATCTTTTGTTATATTTATCTCAAAGTATTACATTTTCAAATCATCATAAATATTACTGCTTTTTAAAAAAATCTCAATTTCTAACTGTTCATTGCTAGTGTATAAAAATGAAATTGAATTTTGTCTATTGCTCTTGTATACAGCAACCTTACTAAACCCAATTATTAATTCTTGTAGTTTTTAAATAGATTTCTTGAGATTTTTCTATACAGACAATCGTGTCATTGCAAGATAGAATGATTGTATTTTTTCTTTCTAATCATTTAGAAAGAAAATAAAAGGAAAATATCTTTTATTTCATTTTCTAGACATAACTGCATTTGCTAGATTTCTAATAAAATATTGAATAGGATTGGTAAGAACAGACATTTTTGCCTAGTTTCTGATTTTAGGGAGAAAACAGTCTTTGACCATTAAGTACAATGTTAGCTGTAAGATTCTCATAGATGTCCATTAATAGATTGCAGATGTTGCCTTCTATTCCAAGTGGGCTGAGAGTTTTGTCACCAATTGGATGTTTAATTTTGTCAAATGCTTTATCTGCAACTATTGATATGATCATGTGTTAATTCTGTTGTTAATGTGATTACACGCATTAATTTTAGTGTATTAAATAAATCTGGTGTTTCTAGTATCTTAAGATTTTCCCAGGATAAAGTTCACATGCTCATAATTATTCTTCTTTTTATATATTGCTAGATTTGACTCACTAATACTTTGTTGAAGATTTTTCTATCAGTGTTCAAGAGGAATATTGATCTGTAGTTTTCATTTCTTATGCTATGTTTGATGTTAAAGTAATGCTGATGTCACAAAGTAAGCTAAATATGTTTTCTCCTTTTCTAACTCTAAGACAGATTGTGAAGAATTGATGTTATTTTTTCCTTATTTAGTAGAGCTGACCAGTGAAACCATTTAGCTTGGAAATAATTTTTTGAAGGCTTTTACATATGTTTAACAATAGCTATAGGAAGACATATTATCTATCTTTTTAATTCAGTTTTGATATCTGCATCTTCAAATAAATTGGTCTATTTCATCTAAGCTGTAGATTTATGTGCATAAAGCTGCTCATAATTTCCTCTTTTTCTAACCTATTGGATCCATGATAATATTCCCTCTTTCATTCTTCATGTTGATCATTTGTGTTTTCTCATATTTTCTTGGTCAGTCTCACCAGAGGTTTGTCAATTTTATGAATTTTTTAAAAAAGGACCAGCTTTTGGTTATATAGATTTTATGTTTTCAATTTTATTGATTTCTGCTTTTATATTTGCTCTTTTCTGCATTTTGCTAGGAAGAAGCTTAAATTGTTGACTTGAGACATTTCTTTTCTCATATGAATTTTTAATGCTATAAATTTCACTCTATGCACAGCTTTACCTGATTCACATGAATTTTGATTGGTTATATTTTCAGTTTTATTCTGTTCAAAATTATTTCTAATTTCCCTTGAGATTTCCACTTTGACCCATTGATAGGTAGTAATGTTTTATTTAATTTTCTAGTATGTGGGGGGTTTGCCAGATATGATTCTGTTACTGTTTCTAGTTTAATTTGTTATAATCAGAAAGCATATTTTCAATAATTTCAATTATTTTAAATATAATGAGGTTTGCTTTGTAACTCATAATATGGACTATCTTAGTGATGAATGTTCCATCTGTGTTTGAACAGAATTTATTCTGCTATTGTGAGGTGGAGTGTCCCATAAATGTTAATTAGGTAAAGCTGGCTGGTGATGTCATTTAAGTCTTCCATATACACTTTGAGTTTTTTGTTTGTGTTTTTTTCAACTTTCTCTTCTCCTTTTATGTCCTGAATTTTAGACCTGTTGATATTGTCCCACAGATACCTGAGGCTCTGTTTCTCTCTCTCTCTCCAACCCTCTGACTCCTTCCCTTCCTTCTTCTCTCCAACCCTCTGACTCCTTGCCTTCCTTCTTCGGTTCCTCTCATTGTTTAGACTGAATATTTTCTATTGCTATATCTTCAAGTTCACTAACCCCTTCCTCTCACATCTATTTTCTGCTATTGAGCCCTTCCAGTGATGTTTTAAATTTTTATTATTCTAGTTTTCTGTTCTAAAATTTTGTTTGAGTTTTTTGTTTGTTTTATTTTGTATTTTTTTGGTATGGCTTCTATTTCTTTGCTGAAAATTATATCTTTCCATTGTTTTTAAGAATGTTTGCCCTTACTTGTTGGAGCACAGTTAAATAACTACTTCAGAGGTTTCTTTCCTGATAATTCCAACCTTTGAGTCCTCTTGTAGTTGGTGCTTGTTAACTTTCTTTTGCCTGTTAGTTGCTCAGATTTTTCTTATTCTTTGTACATGAATAGTTGGGGGTTGTATCTGGGACATTTCAAATGTTATATCCTGAGGCACTGGATCCTATTTAAATCTTCTGTAGAACATTATTTTTTTGTTTTGTTTAACAGGCAGTAAATACATATCCTGGCCCATATTCTGTGGTTTATCTTTCCCATATAAATTTAATTTTCAAAGAATGTACAATCATATCTGGTTTGCCCAGTGTGTGAACTGCTCAGAGTTCAAACTGAAACCTAGACACTGGGCTTCACTGAAGTTCGGTTTTCAAAGTTTTTGTTGAGCTGATTCCATTTAGTTTCATGCCTGAACAACTTGGGAGTTGTCCAAGACTTAAATGCAGATTTAAATGGTCACTTTCTTTGGCTACTTGTTTTCCATTATCATTTCTCTGACTTTGGTTCCCAGGGTTTCCCCTTCCAGGTGTTCTTGTTAGAAATATGGAAAGTTAGCCTCCCCGCACTGATGCCAGTGTTCTGGCCCTTATGAGTTCTGCCTCTTCAACACCAATGAGGAGTGGTAGCAGGTCCATCTTTTTACTGGCATTCTGAAGGGCAACAGGGCAGGGCAGTTTTACAGGGCTCAACCCTGTGGTGTTTGCTGCTGCGATGATAGCGGGAAGTAAGGAGGTCCTACCTCTTTGTTGCCACTTTCTTGGTGTAAGGCGAGGAGAGTTCACGGGGCTCCTCTCCTCAGGATTTGCCGCAGCATGCTGGGGGGAAGGAAGGGTGTTAAAAAATAAAATAAATAAAAAATAAACAGGAAACTCACCACAAGATCATTCCTCCAGTTCTAAGATCTGTACCTAGTCCACTTGCTTTTATCTACCTTTAATTCTTATGTTAATTGCTTAATGTATTTTTTTTTTCTAAGGCTTTACTCCATTGTGTCTAGAATCAAAAGTCCCTTTTTATAAAATTCCTAAATGGTGGATAACAAAGAGAAAAGAAAAGAAACCTATAAAATAGGAATATGTGTATCAAGAAGAATAAATGATAGAATACGTTTGGCAAACTAAAGCACTAAAAATAGAGTAAAGTGTTAGAGAACAGGGAGGGGAACTTTTTGCCAGTCTTTAGATATCCTTCCATGTAACACTTCTCTCTTCACTCTAACCTACTGTTCCCTAAGGAATTAGGAGTGACTTAAAATAATCGGTGAGTTTGGAAGAAAAAGAAGGGAATATGCTGCTCAGCTACTTCTCCTCTCTTCTTTTCCCCATAAAGAAACTGTATTCTCAATTTCTCTAAGTCATATGATAAATTTAGAGACAACAGTCCTTCCTTACAGGAGAAGCATGTGTGGTGCAGCACTTACTGTGACTTAGGTAAGTCTCACTCATTCTGGAGTTCAGTACTAGGAAGCTTCCTTATAGGTAGAAGCCACATTGTTCAATTTCAGTAAATTATATTGAATATCTTGATCTCCATATAATTTACTCCTTCATCTTATTTATTAGTTAGATACTCCAGTGAGAAAAAGGTGGGAAGTTGGGAGCAGTAAATTGCTGGGACTTCCTTAAGCCTCCAATATTCACTAATTTTAAAAGTTAATTAATTCATTGAAGTAACCCCCTTTTAATAACAAGGTAACATAGTTATTATGACTATAAGTCATGTTTCCTAACACCTTATTGTGAAGGTGTCTAATCCACCTTTTTCTCCCCGGTGCTTAACACATTACCAAGTACAATAAGCACATAATAAATAATCATAAATGTCCATACAATGAATAAATGGTTCAATAAATAAAAGAATTCCGATATACATCACGTTAGATGTAGCATTCAGAGAAACCATTCTTATTTTAATGGTAATGTTTCCTTCTCAAATAGTTCCTCCTCTCAATATGTGTAAGATATTTGAGAATATTTATTATTTACCTCAATTAAAAGAAGTATCAACTTATTTTACCCCTATAAAATTCCTCTGAGGTAGTGATATGGTTTGGCTGTGGCCCCCCGCAAATCTCAACTTGAATTGTAGCTCCCACAATTCCCATGTGTTGTGGGAGGGATCCAGTAGGAAGTAATTGAATCATGGGAGCGGGTCTTCCCTGTGCTGTTCTCGTAACAGTGAATAAGTCTCATGAGATCTGATGGTTTTATAAAGGGGAGTTTTCCTGAATAAGCTCTCTTCTCCTGTCTGCCACCATGTAAGACCTACTTTTTACCTTCTGCCATGATTGTGAGGCCTCCCCAGCTGCATGGAACTGTGAGTCCATTAAACCTCTTTCTTTTGTAAATTGACCAGTCTCAGGTATGTCTTTATCAGCAGCATGAAAACAGACTAATACAGGTAAGTATTATTATTATCTACATTTTACAAAAAAGGAAAATGATGACCAGAGAGAATAAGTGACTTGTCAACGGTCAGAGAGCTAGTGACAGATCTGTGATCGAAACTCCTGAACTTAGCTCTGGATTCTGTGGCTATATTGAACACACCATGTCACCTCTCAAAAGCCTTCCCAATAACTTGTTCATTAGGGTCAGCAACCCCACCTCTTTGTCTTCCAATCATGCATACCTTAAAATGTGGCCTGACCACATCAATTATACCATCTTTTTTCATGCTTCAAACAATCAGAGCTATCCAACCAAAGCTAGCACTCTCTTCACAAACTGTTAGTCTCCACCCAAAGGATTGGCCTAGCTATTTCGCACCATCATCAGCCTTGTTGCAAGCCTATTAAAAATCCTTTGTCTTCAGTTCTTGCCAATTAATAGGATAGTGATTTGAGGGCAAATAGCCAGTTGGAAAGGAATATTAATGTGTGTGTTTAATGCAGTGGTAAAGAAGTTATGGCACTTTACATGAAATATCTTGCATCTTTCTTTTTTTTTTAAATTATACTTTAGGTTCTGGGATACATGTGCAGAACATGCAGGTTTGTCACATAGTTATACATGTGCTGTGGTGGTTTGCTGCACCCATCAACCCGTCATCTACGTTAGGTATTTCTCCTAATGCTATCCTCCCCTTGCCCCCCCTACCCCCGATAGGCCCCAGTGTGTGATGTTCCCCTCCCTGTGCCCATATGTTCTCATTGTTTAACTTCCACTTATGAGTAAGAACATACAAACACCTTGCATCTTTCAATACTGTTTCTCTTGACTAAAATACCTGTCCAGGTACAATACGGACAGTTGTGATTTTTTTTCACCTGCCACCAAAGCCAAAAGAAAGGTGTAACAGGTTAAAACAAAGCCATTAATAGAAGTAACCCAATCTTAATGGTCTGGTCCTTTCATAAATTAAATATGTGAGATCTAAATACATTTTGAATATTTCTTAGAGGAATTATGGAAAAAGTAAAAAACAAAATAATCTGGAAGCAAAATCTAGAAAAAATACTTCCTGTGGACCATAGACTTAGATAAGTGCTGACATTTTAAAGAAATTAATGTCCTATCATTCAAGTCCCACAGTATCCTATCATAGTGTGTGTATGTTGTCTGTTCCAGTAGTTCTCAGACTTTGTTGTACATTATAACACATTTAGGGAGGAGGGCAAAGAATGTTGTTAAAAACACTGGTTCTTGAAGCCTAGCCCAGATGTACTCAATAAGATTCTTTGAGGGTGGAGCTCAAGCAAAAATATTTTTAAGAAGCTTCTCCGGTGATTCCAAAGCTCACAAAGTTTGAGAAACATTGACTGTATACTTGACTTTCAGGGTTGAGAAATCCTGGAATAGACAAATGTTAAAGAAATTTCAATTAATTAATCTTTATAACATCTCTAACACTGGACTCTTATTCATATTAACATTGTGTTGATTTTCTACTATTAAAATATTCATTTGAAGAAAAGTATAGTGTTGGTCCCCTAAAATAAAAATGTGTTTTCTCACATTCCTTCCTAGAAAAAAACAGCATATAAAATTATGATTCAAAGAGTCTAGTTCTGTCTGATATAGATAAATGTACTATTTTTTTTAGTGTGTGATATTCCAATCAGATATGCCTTTGTCTTTCCTACCAGTTACAAAATCACAACCTATCTTGCTGATTTATTTTGTGGAACGTGGGTGTCTCTCTCTGTCTCTTTCTCTGTGTGTGTACGTGTGTGTGCGTGCACAAAGTTTTAAAATGTTTTATATCATATACATATATATGTGTATATATATAACACGTATGTGTGTATATACACGTGTATATATATTTTAAAATATTGGCAGCTAGACAATTAAAACGTTTTTCATATCATGTAGCCTTTGGCTTTTTACATATCATCTTCTAAACCTCAATCGGACAAAAAAATTGTATTAAAATCATTGGAGAAATGCTGAAAAATGTCATGTGCAATTGCTACAAAACATCTTTAATAGTTCTATTAATACTTGTCAGTCACCAAGTGTCCTTGATCTTCATGGATTTTAAATATAATTTTCAGTTCCTTGTTGAAGTCTTTTTTCAATACCTTCAGTATCTTCTACATAACTGCACATTTTCCATACTAATATCAAAATTCCTTTCCATTTGATTTGTCATCATATCCCTTCAAATGCTAAAGATGCTACTACAATTCACAAAATATTCAAATTCTAAATTTTCCTGTCAATCATTGAATCAAAACACTCACCTGAACGCTTTTTGGATAATTTTATTGTATGTTTATTTCTGCCAGGCAAACCATTTCAGAATGCCTAACAATAAATTACTACCTGTCTAAAGAAGTCATGCTGTTTGAAGGGTTTTCTAAGTCTAAGTCCTTAAAGCAAAATGTAACAGGTTCATTTAACGTTTCTTCTGAAAGAAGAGAAGCATATACACTGCAATACTAAACTGTTTATGTGGTCTATGTCATATTAGTGTTTCAAGACATCTTAGAATGACTTCTCTGAAAGCAAAGGTAGTCATTCGAAAACACAAATGGAACTTGGAATAGAAAAAGAATTAAACTTGAAGAAGAGAGAACACCGAGCTTCAAAATAACTCCTTTTGGAACACGCTTCCAAACACAATGTTAAGTGCATGCAATCAGTTACAGGTCATAGGTTAAAGAACTTGTGTTACTCACAAAAAATGTACAATTTTCAACCTTATGGACTGTCATCACCAAAGGAGATGAAATAAAAACTCCAAGTTTGTTTTCAATCCCTGCCTAGTGTCAGGGAGTAACCTTAGCAGTTAATGCAGTCGCACAATTTCTATGCCCAGGTGTTGAAATTTAGGTTCTGTGATCAAGGCAATGCCTTTAATCCTGTACATGAAGTTGTCGAGACTCAATAAATTATCAGATACAAATCAGTAAATGGCAAGAAGGCTTAAATAACATTGATAGTCATATGATCCTGTTTCTGCCTCAGCTCTCCTAGGTAAATGCATCCACAGCTCCATTCTAAGAAGTGCTCACATAAAGAGATAAAAATGCTTCTTTTATGTGTGTTTCTAATTCTTCAGGTCTAGCATTTTCCCTTGAGGTACCAGAGATTCCCCATCCTGACGACAGTGGTCAGATACAGAGTGCACATGACTTTTACAAATGCATCATCATTTAACTACCCTGGTTCTTCATCAGGAATCTAAATGATTAAACAAAAGAAAATTACTGAAGCCTATTAGATCAGTTAATACAACGGTGGAAAACAAATGACAAGAAAACTTCTCAGAGGTCAGTAAAGTGAGAGATCAAACACGATTAATTTTTTCTTCTGCCAGGGCAGATTCTGTCTGCTAAGTTAACATTCCATAAGAAAGAGACAAACAT